TCGAAGTTATCGAGTTATCGAAACCTATCGATGGATATTTGAAAGCTTGGAACAATGGTAATGAGAGCTAACTCTATGCAACAAATGTTATCGACATATCGATAAATATCTATCAAAGCTATGCAGTTAGTTTTTAAAGCTTAATAACTGTTTGTATTATTATATTTAAATACCCAAGCCGAAAAAGAAAGTCTTCTATGTATGTATTGTGAATGTATATATGAATCTGGGAATGTATGTGTGATTACTTATTAGAAGTACAGTATGTATGTTTATATATGTCTGTGTCAGTATATATGCATGTATGTGTATGTTTGTTGTATGTATGTATGTATGTTAGAGTGTATATATGTATGTATGCATGCATGTAAGTATGCAAGTATATTTGTCTAATATCCAACGCACATTTTAGACATACATAAGCTATTCAGAATGTTTCAATTCATGCCAACACATAACCTCAATTTAAATAATGATTTCTGATATAAGTTGACAATGCCTAGGGCTTAGGTACTCCAACGCGCCTTTAAGACAATTATATATGTATATGTCTTTGTTCTTTTCTTCCTTCTTACCAATCTCCCACCCCCTCCTCCCACCCCCTCCCACTATCTCTCTCTCTGTCTTTCTCCCTGACTTGTTCTACATGCCTCGCTGCTATTACTTCATCTAATTAGCACAATTAATGCCCTAGACACAATTTTACAAACAATACATTTGCATAGCTATGTGCATATGTATGTATGTATTTATTCAATTCCTAACCCAACATATGAAACAATTTCATTGTCAAGTATGTGAGTGTGTGTGTGTGTGTTTGTGTGTGTGGCATAACTGGTTCAAACCAGTTGACAGCAAAAAAAAAAATGCCAAAGAGCATAAAACGCACTCATTGCAAGCGCCAAATTGGGCGGCGCCCGCCCCTTGCTACATGTGTATATGTATGTGAATATATGTGTATGTATATATCGACAGATGCGTATGTGTGTGCGTGTGTGTAGCATAACGTACAAATTTAATGTGCGCCAAATGCTGCTACAAAAACAAATGATATCATCTTATCTGAAAGCGCAACAGAAATTCGTCGAAGCATTCAGCTGTGTGGAGCTGTTCATGAAAAATAAATAAATGTGTGTGCGTGTGTGTGCGTCTGTGTGTGTGTGTATACATTACACAAATAAAAACCGAAAGCAAAACATTTGTTTTTGTGCAATTGAAGAGCTTAGTGGGTGGGTTTGAAAACGGGGCGGAGGGGGGTCTGATGCGAACAGCAGCAAAAGAGAAAAGCGAAAAAATGCAGTATACACACATAACCAAAAAAAAAAAAAAAAGAAGATATTTGGGCAACGCAGGGTCACACGCACACACATATACTCACGCATACATAGCGCTACATAATTGCCAAATAGTGTATATAACGGGCCTAAGCAGCAGCAGCGCAGCAGCAGCAGCAGCAGCAGCATTCACAGTGCGAGTACATAACAAATAAATGCTAAAACGCACACCCAAAGCACACACACACACACAGACACACACCCACATATACACCCATAAAGACACAAACGCAAGCTGCAAAAGTGCGTTCGGTTAATGGGCAGTGCGAGTGAGTGGGTGTGTGTGTGTGTGTGTGTGTGTGTGTGTGTTGGGCTGGCGCCAAAATGTGGAGCATATATATAAACCGCCCCAAAAACTGTACATAGCCAACGCCAACAACAGCAACAGAAACAACAACAACAAGAACAGCAGCAGCAGCAACAACAAAAAGTGCTGTAGCTAAGCAAAAATGTGCGTGCAGCACTGCAAACGCAAACGCAAACGCAAACAACGCCGGCGTCGCAGTCGACGTCTATGTTGGCGGCCATGCCAAAATACGCAATATACATATACATATATATATACACACGCACACAAACGTGCGCACACACACACGCCGCACAGACGTGCATACACGCATATAATGGCCTGCATTGGTGTGTGCGCAGCAAACGCACAAAGCTTTTTCTTATTGGATTTCTCGTAGGCAGCATGGGCAGCGGCAGCAGCAGCCACATAAGCGCACGCATACACGCACGCACGCAATAGTAAAAGACCGAGTGTGTGTGTGAGTGCGAGCGGGGGCCGCGCCAAAAAATGCTCACAACGACGCTGCGCTTGGCTGCGCTGACTGCGCTGCCGCTGCTACACGTGTGCTTGAATTGCGTAAACTTGCTGCGACTGCGACGCCGCTCGCATGTTTTGTTCTCGTTCTCGCCGTTTTTTATTGTTGTTGTGTGCAGGCAGCAGCCAGCGACAGCAATAAAATAGCAGCGCCGCGCTCAAGTTTTATTTTACGTTTTCGTTTATTTTTCTCTCGCTCTCTCTCTCTCTCTCTCTCTCTCACGCTTTTTGTTTTGCGCGCGACATGCGCGCTCCCAGCTGGGGAAGTCTATGCCGAAAAAGCTCAAGCTCGCGCTCAATTTGTGCTGTTGTTGTTGCCGCTGCAAAATGAATGCGTATTGTGATTCCTTTTGTTGTTGTTGCTTTTATTCTTTCTTTCTTTTTTTTTTGCGACTGGAAGCAGCGCAGGAGAAACGAGTTTTTTGCTGAGCTACTGCGCTCAATACATTGTCTCTTTGAGCGCTTTTAGGGATCTTTTTCTCGTTGTTCGTTTTCTTGTATGTTGTTGCTAATAATCAACATTTAATTAATAAAAGAAACGCAGCTATTTCTGTGTGTTTTTGCTTTATTGTTCAATTTGTCGACAATAACAAGTTGATTAGTTGCTGTGGAATTTGATATTTTTGCCAGGACACTTGTGGGAATTGCAAGAAAGGATTGTGGGAAAGCAACCCAAAAGGGAATATTCTTTTGCAACGATTTCTTAGCTTTTTTATTTAAAACAAAGTAACGTTAATTCGTAGATTTAACAATGGATGAAAGGCATGTAAATGTGAGAAGATCCTTCCAGGATGCCTTAGCTGTAATTTTTTTTGTGTTTTCCCTTTGTTAAAATTCTGCTAGCTTAAAGATATCGAGAAACTTGAAGAGAATGTAGCTCAAATCGGATTCTCGCTTTCTTCACATATCGTAGTATGTCCTTTGGTATCCTTGGGAACAGCTCATTTAACTGCACGGCCGTGCACCTGGCCAGCTGATGCAATCAGAGTTCAGTTGACCCCCCTACCTCCCCCTACCCTGCTCTGGCTGCTCGGCGCCCTGCTGCGGCAAAAGCAAGTTTCTGTTTTTGTGTAGTATTTCATTTACCCACGAGCATTTTCCGCCTGAAGGACTCGCGAAAGGACTCGCCGCCAGCGGCGTGATTAGCTCATGCGACTTATGCAATTTGCCTGCACAACGATGGAAGCGGGAGACGGGAGAGAGGGCGAGGGCACAAGAGAGCGAACGCAAGAGAGCCGTCTTGCCGGGCAGCAGTGTGAGCGGAACTCACCCCCAGCAAGAGGTCCTGGCGCACAGGAAGGGGCGGCAGTGCATACACACAAAACATGCAAAGCTGCAGCAGTGACATCATAAGCGTAGAAGGATAACGCGAAGCAGCTCAGTTGGAGCTTAAGTACAGTTAAGGCTTAGTCTAGAGTCTAATTGAATCAAATAATATAAATAATCATATATGTATTCCCCTTTGCGGCTCGGGCAATGGAAGCCAATTTGAACATTGCACGTCGTGCATTCCAATTGGATTAAACGCGCAAAAAACATTGCACAGCCGCTGCGCAAGTGGTTGTCAATGTGTATGAGAGAGAGAGAGAGAGAGAAAGCGAGGGAGAGACAGCGCGCGCGAGAGCGCCAGCACAGAGAGAGAGAGAGAGAGAACGCCGAAAATCTAATAGCAATACGTTCGGTCGCTCGCAAATTCTGCATTTGCAACGCAAAGCGCAAAGCGAAACAAAATCAAAAACAAAAGCACTCACACACACACACGCGCGCGCAGGCAATGCAAAATGGACGCACTCTCGCAGCGGCAGCAGCAACGACGCCGACAGCGACGTCGGGCCCCAAAAGCGCCAGCGGAGAACTTGTTTTTGCTGCCAAAAAAAAAAAGCTAGCGAGAGCCGCTCTGACGGCTCTCTCAGCGCGTGTGTGTGTGTACATGTGTGTATGTGTGTTTTTCGCTGCGCTTTGCTGCGTTGGGCTGCGTTTTACTAACTTACTCTTACTCTCTTGGAGCTGTTGCTGCTGCTGCTGCTGCTGCTGCTGCTGCTGCTACTGCTGCTGCTGTTGGTGGTGGCTCTGCCCGCTACCCGTCTCTCTGCCCATCTGTGTGCCTGTGTGTGTGTACATGCGACTCTGTCTGGCCGTGTATGCGTGCATTCTGTATGCTTGTGTGCGTCGACCGCCGCCGCCTGCCTGGTTGATAGGCCATAAACGCAATTTTTGAATTTCATGCTCGTCTATTCGGCGCTAGGTTTCGGTGGTGCGCAGCTCGCAGCAGCAGCGTTCGTTGTGTGCATTTCTCGTCTCGTCTAACATTTCCCCACAACGGCAACGGCAGCGGCAACAGCAGCAACTGAACAACAGAAGCTGACTGCAAAAAAAAAAAAAAAAAACAACAGAAGAAAATAAATACAAAATTACATTTTCAAAATTATTAACAATAAATTTCTAAAAAAAAAAATATATATACACACACATATATATATATATATGTATATATATATATATATATTCAATTATTGACGAACCAAAAACGGAAATGCAAAGGAAGAATAAATACAAATTTATTTTCGATCAGTGAAAAGTGCAAAAACGAAGCGCACAAATTAAAATCGTTACAACAACAACAACAACAGCAACAAAAACAAAGCAAAAAGTTTTCCATTAAACTGTTCTTTTAATTTATTATTTAAGTTTAGTTTATGTTTTTAAAAAGCAAAAGCAAATACATAAAAAACGACCAAGGCCGGCAAACAAATACAAACACAAATACGCACACACACATAAAACAAAAACAAATTGACGTTGTACGCACGAGTGTGTGCGTGTGTGTGTGTGTGTGTGTGTCTCAGTGCGCGTGTGTATGTGTGTGTTTGACAAGTGATCGAAGGTAAATTCATTGTTTATTGTTATTAAACAAAACAAGTGCAAAATCATGCATCAATCAGCACTGCAAGAAATGTTTATAATTAAATAAATATATATTAAATAACATAAAATAATAATAATTGTTAAATAATTATATAAATAAATGCAAAATAGAACATTTAAACAAAATAAATATATATATAAAATTCAATAAATTCAATCAATAAATGAGAGCTAAGAATTAAATAATATTGTTTAAAATATTATATATTATAATATATATTAAATAGTATATTAAATATATACAATTAATTTTATATTCTAAAGACAAAAGCCAAAAGAAAATGTTCAGAGTTTTTCGCGCTAAGAAATACAATTTGTGCGTGAGCTACACAAGTGTTTACTATACAAGTGCATTTGTATCTGTCAGATACTTTCCCAACAGTTCATTCTGAGCCAACTTAAGGACCAAAGGGGTCCTCTAGAAGTTCACAACTTCTTCAGTTCCGGGACAAACCTTACAAATGCAATCCGAACCCAACTGTGCGTAGCTCAGTGTGCGTGTGTGCATCTGTGTGTGTGTGTGTGTGTGCGAGTGTGCATCTGTGTGTGTGTGTGTGTGTGTGTGTGGCAAATGGGGTTGCTCGGTTCGCGGCTGCTCTGCATGCAACTAAAACTGGAAACTTGTGCATTTTTAATCAAGCGAAGACAATGCCCGCAACAACAACAATAATAACTACAACAACAACAACAACAACAACTACAACAACAACAAACAATAAACCACCCTGCCCGCTCCGGCCCACAGCAGGGCAAAACTCATGCAAAGATTTTTGAACAAACCAAAAAAAAAAAGCTGAACTCAAAACCAAATTCGAACCCCTTTTTGCGACACGTGTGTGTGTGTGTGTGTGTGTGTGTGTGTGATTGCAACACGGAAACTGCATAAAAATTGTGAAGGGTTTATAACGGGGTCTATATATATATATATATATATTGCCTGGGCAGACACTTGTTTGATACAAAAGACACGCAAAGAGCTAAGTGGCAAATTTTGAACATACTTAAAAAATATAAAAATAATATAATATTTAATATACAATATAAAATAAAGCAAATGTATTTCTAAAAGATTATAATACTATATAAAAATATATAATAATAATAATACTATATACCATATGCTATAATAATAATATACTACTATGAAATATATATAAAATGTTCAATATAAAATCATCATAGATAAAAGATATTTTCTAGAATGTTATTGTTTATTATTATGTTATTTATATACTATTTTATATAATAATAGAATGATATATGTGTATATATTTATATATTTATTACATTATTAGATAATTGTCTCAAACTCAAACGACAAATAAGAAATCAGCTTCGACAATTATATCGCAATAAAGTTTTTATCACTTTGATTATAATATGCAGTAAAAAATGTCTAAGTTATAAACTATTAAGTTGTATATAAAAGAATATAATACAATTTAAATTTGTTTAAATGCCATTAAGCCAGTTCCAAAGTGGTTCAAAGATTAATCGAGACTAAAATAGATTCAAAATTTGGCTTAGAATAGAGCTGAAACTCTGAGTCTCTGAAATTCTCTTCTAAAGCCGCGGCAAGCCAAAGTCCGAGCTCTACCCAAAAAACCTGTTCAATCTCAAATATTTTGACTCAATTGCAGCTTTAGAGTGTGTCCATTTGTAACTCTCACGCCTGGCATTGATAAGCTTTGACAATTTCCTGAAGAAAGACACATGCCCAAGTGCCCCTCGCTCGCTGTCTGTAGGGTATTTCACAACAACAACACCAATTGAAAGCTAGATTAAAAAACGAAACACTTGCCAGAGCCAGAAATCGTAATGCAATGCTTTAGATTCCAGGGTTTCAGATTAAAGAATTCACAAAACATTTTTGAAACAGATAAGACGCAGATTTTGACATTATTTTGCTCATGAATGAATTGTTTTCGAAAAAAAAAACCCAAAGCAAGAACTAAAACGTGTCAGGCAGGCAGCAGAGCGAATTGATAATATATATATATATATATATATAGATTATTAAAAGAATATGAATATGAATAGCATAATAATCTGTCTATACTTGAACTGGCAGAAACTGTCACGAATGGAACTTTCGCTCAATTCGAGTTTCGTGAGCTTGTGTGTAGATATTCGCAATTTGAAACTTTTTTGTCTTTGGTTAGGTATTAAACCCTTCACATCCCAAATTTTTCAAGCCTAGTACGAAAAGGTCCCGAGATAAACACATTCAGAACAGACAAACGAAGGCACAAACTGAAATTTGGCTTAACTAATTATATGAATTATAACAAATTGCAAAAAAAATAACATACTGTTAATAGTTGAATTTTGAGTGCATCCATTGATATATTTTGGCTTTCTTGTTTATTTGCAGGCCCCAAATGTCGCTGTGAAAATGTCTCAAAAAACTAATCACGACAACAAAACCGACAACAGGCGACAGCAAAAGCGACGCATGCAACAAAATGCAATTGCAACAGCGATTTTTGAACATTTAACAAACTAAGCAACAAAATTACAAATCAAATGAAACTATATTTTAAAGCAAAGCAAATGAATTGAAACAAAACAACAACAACAACAAAAAAATGAACTGAAAGAAACTTTGGCTAAATGCAAATGCAACGCAAAAATTCAAATTGGCAAAAATAATTTTGGGCTAAAATTTCAAAAGTTTAACAAAAAGAAACGTAAAAACTTTTTTTGGGCAAGCTGCGTGCAAAAGCTAACTAAAAACGAAACAAAAATTATTTGGCTAATTGAAAGATTTAAATAAAAAAAAAAATAAAACTGTAACTGAAATCCAGAAATAAAACAAATTAAATGTAACATTTAAACTAAACTGTAAAGCAACAACAACAAAGGCAAAAATCAGCTAAATCAAAAAAAAGCAAGCAAAAACCGCAAAAATTTAAGCCAACAACTAAATTGGAAAACTCTTCAAAATTATTGGTTCGGACAAAACGCAATACTAAACACAGCAACACAGCAGCAACAACAACAACAACAGCAACAACTACAACAACAACTACAACAACAACAACAACAACAACATCAACTACAACAACAACAACAACAAGCAGCAGCAGAACGTGTGTGTTAGTTTGCATAAAAATTTCGTTTCGATAAAAAACAAAAAAACAAAACAAAAACAAAAACAAATCATAAAGAGAGAGAGAGAAAAAGTAAAACAAAAACTTATTAAATAAAAATTTGAAAATATATTTATGCATAAATATATAAAAATAAATATTGCTTGAAATTAGCTAAGCAAACTATTTGGTAAACATTTTTTGGATAGTAAACTGAGCCGTAACCGAAATTCAGAATATTCAAATAAATAACTTTTGACATAAGTGAAGTGCAGTGCGTATAAATTACAACAAAAAAACAAAAAAACAAAATTTGTAAACATTTTGTACGATTAAAAATTAAGGCATTTTTGGATTAACGCGTAAATTTGCAATTGGATTTAAAGGTAAGAAATAGATACAAATTTTAAAATAATATAATAATGCATTTCACATTAAATTTAACTGTTAACTTCAAGAGCAAACCCCTGTCCAACACTACAAACGTTCACCAAACTTGTGCAACACTGACATTAACCCGTTATCAACACTGCCAAAAAGCAGCGAACTTGTGCAACACTGACCCCAGTCAAAACTTAGTCAATTACATCCTCATATTTATGTTAGTTGTCTGAATAAACACCAACTCTCAGCTGACTGACCAACACTGCAAATAATCATAAAAGGTATGCAACACTGACAGCAGCCATTCAATATCTATGTTCTTTATGTGCATAAACACTCACGCCAACTAACTGACCCTGAATTCAACCAAAAACTCAATCAATTGCATTCCATGTTGATGACAAGGTAATAAGCGCTAACTCTTAACTAACTGTCCAACACTGTAATTAGTCATAAAACTTGTGCAACACTGACTTCAATTCCAAACTTAACCAATTCCATTCAATATTAATGCTAATCATGTGCATAAACACTCTGCCTCAGTTAACTAACCAACACTGCAAATAGTCATAAGCCTTGTGCAACACTGACTGCAACCTAACCTCAACAAATACCATTCAATGTTTATGCTAATTACGCAGCACATTTTCACGCATACAACTACACAGCATTGCCACTCCCTAGCCCTTAGTTTACTTTACACCCGCCCCCTCCTGAGGCCGACAAAAATATTGTCACATTCAGTTAAAATTTTTGGAAAGTTTGTTGTTTTTTTTTCCCCCCTGCGACGCATCGCAAACATTTGCAAACATTTTGCAGACGCACAACGCATGTAATATTAAATATAATTACGTATAATTATAATTTATGCAAAGCAAAAAACAACTTTAAAAAAAAAAAACATAAAAGAAGCAACTTGAAAAATGAGTTTTTGCTGTTGTTGGTTTCTACGCACTTTTGAATATGATTTATGAGCGTCAACGTTGCATATTAATAACAATTAGGCGTAAACTGAAGAAAAGCAAAAGTTACGCACTCACACACACACACACACACACATACGCAACGCATAATATTTTTTCTTCTTTGCATAAATTAAACTTTTCTTCTGCTGCTGCTGCTGCGTCGCAGTTGCTGCCGCTGCGCGTTGCGCGCTGCGGCTGCTGCTGACACGCAACCCCCTCGCGGCATTGACGCTGTCGCTGCCAGCGGCGCTGCCAGCGTCGCTGCCACTTTGACCTACTTTAAGCGCAGCGCGTTCCAAATTTTGTGCGTTGTGTGTACTTTGCTGCCTATCTGCCTCTCACTCTCACTCACTCTCTCTCGCTCGCTCGCTCGCTCGCTCTATTGCTGCTTGATGCGTGCGCTTAAATGTAGTTGCTTTTTGGCCTGTGATTGTTGTTGCTGGTCGAGGGTCTTCCGCATTTAATTAAATGCAACAACAATTTGGTTACTTTTTCAACCTTTGTTTTACGTGTGCTTCGTTTTTACTGTTTTTTTTTTTTTTGTCTTTCCATTTGTGTTGCTGTTCTGTTTTGTTGCATTTTCACTTGTCGGAAGTGCGTTTTAGTTTCTGGCCTCTACAAGCTTCGCGTCGTGCCAGCTCTTTCACGCACGTTGCGCAATCGTTCGGTTTCCTAGAATACACAAAGCTCCTTACCCCAACCACCAGGCTACAGTCTGTCTCGCTCGCACGCGCTGCGCGTCGCAGACTGCGCGGCTTTGGACTGACGCAATGCAACGCAGCATTGTTGCTGTTGTTGTTGTTGTAGCTGTGGTTGTTGTCGTCGTCGGCAGTTGCGCAAAGTGCGTCGCAGTTGCTGCGCCTATGCAATTGTGTGTGCTGCTCCCCCATCCCCCGCTAGCTGCTCGACTGCACTCATTCTGCTGCTGCTGCTTCTTCTTCTTCTTCGTGCTGCTGCTGCCTTAATAATTGTGGCATTTTATGACCTGACACTGCAGTCGCTTGAATTTTAATGTGTCGGCTACCAAGAAAAGCGATTCCACACAAAACCCGTCAATAGCCTAAGCCGCCGCTCAGTTGTTATTACAGTTGTTTAGCGCAAGAATGGCAGGCACTCTCCCTCCCTCTCACTCTCTTTCTCGCAGCGCTGTAATTGGCCTGCGTATGCACTTTCAATTATACACTGTTATTATTGCCGTTGTAATGCGAGACTGTTGTTGTTTAGAGTTTAAGTTCTGTGCGCAGCAATTCTTCTAAGTGGCTCATAAATTTGCTTAGCACTGTAAACAAATGCCGAATAATTAATCGACAACTCTACATAAGTATGCATGTGAAACAGCAAATATAACTGCATGTTTGTAGACAACACCTCGCTCGCGCTCTCAAAATGGCAGAGAGCACACAGGCGTCGACCGCTTAAATGTCATATGTGCTAGAAACGAAGCGCAACTAACTAACGACGCCCATGGAATGCGTTTTCTATTTGTGACAAACACACTCACCCATACATGGACAGGCAACACCCACATAGAGAGCGCTTTGCCTACTCTACACGTCAGTACGCTACACAACTCTACACAACTCTACGCTACCCAACTCTGCTATGTATTGACTGCATGCAAAAGTTTTGCCAGCCCATTTGTCAATGTGTGCGAGCGTGTTAGGTGTAGTGCACATTTTGTGTGCGTGCGAGCGAGTGAGTGAGTGAGTGCGTTTGTTTGTATACGTGTGCGAGTGTGTGTGCTTTTGCGAATTGGAGCAAAAGGCAACTGGCAATTAGCAGCTGGGGAATAAAAGCGAACGAATAGTTTGCCAAAGCATTGCACATAGGCTCCGCCATATCTGAGAAACAGTGTGTACATATCACATGCATATGTATACATGCATACATACATACATACATACATACGTATACGCACACACGCAATAACTGTATGCTCTCTTGCACACGCACACACCTACACTCGGTGTGCAGATAGCAACCATCATGTTGGGCCGTATGTGGGCTTAGGCCTAGCCATTTGGCCAACTCGGTTGGCCAGCAACATATTTAAGTGCCACAAACAGCAATGGAGAAAAAAAAAACAAAAAAAAAAAAACAAATACAATGAGCGACACTGACAGGTTTTCACTGTAGCTGGAATAATATTTAATAAAAATATTTATTTTTGTTGGTTTTATAATGAATTTGTCTTGCGTTTTGATAAGCTTAATTAGCACCACATAAAAGCGTAGATTTCGCATTTTTTTTTTTTTATGGGCTCAAGCACATGCAAGTTTCATTTTTTACCTGAGCTTTTTTTTTGATTTGCCGAGTAATTAAACTAATGATATAGTTTTGCAGTACTAATCCTAAGTTAATGCGTGTCGCGTTTTTTGTTTTTATAGGCCATGAAACAGGGCCGTAAAATAGCGCATAAATTAGTGTATCATATGTCGGGGTGTTAGTTTGAGAAATGCTAAAACATGCAAAGCAAATGAATCAGAAATTAACTGAAGAGAGCAAGAGAGAAAGAGAGAGAGAGAGGCAAATATAGCTAAAGGTAAGCAATTCCTTAAGTGTACCTAACCTAAAAATGCATTTTCTGTTGAAATTCATATAAAAACTAACCTCAAACTTGTCTATACAAAAATGAATGCTATTTTTCAATAAAAAATAATCTAAAATTGTTAAATTTGTGGCAATTACAACACAAAAGCACGCTGATAATACACATTGAGAAGGGCGCAGCAAATAAATGAGATTTCTATTAGAAAACATATATATGTATGTTTGTATGTATGTATGCGCGCCATAGCTCTATGTAAAGCCAGAAACACACATTTTTACACATTCCTATATAAATAAGTCGCAAACGCAGCGCGAAAATATTTGACGCATTTATTTTTCGGTTATTTGTAGATTGTGTCAGCGTCGCATCTAAATTATTGCGGCCTACAATTAAAATTGGCCGTAAGAGTAATGGTCAGCCGAGGGGGGTGGGGTTGGGGGTGGGGGCAAGCAAAGGCCGCTACGCTCTATCGCCAACGCCTGCACAGCAACAAAACAAATTTACAAAAAAAAAAAATGTATATATATATAAAACTACAGCAGCGATAGAAAAGAAAAAAACCTTGAGCTCGCACAACATAATTAAAAATGTGCGTAGACGCACACACACACACACGCGCACACACTCAAACGCACACGCGCAACGCTTTGCAGCGAAAAGCTTTTCCTGCTTTGTAAATGACATTCACGCGCAATAAATACATATACACGCCAGCAACAACAACAACAGCCGCAGCCACTAAAAAAAAAAGCTCAACTGCAAACACAACAACAATGCGCGCACCCTACAACAACAACAACAACAACAACGAGAAGAAGAAGAATAGCAGCAGCAGCAACAAAAACTAGCGCTAAGGAAATCTAAAAATGGCTGCGTTGCTTTGCCAGTCAGTGCCAAAAAAAAAAAAAGAACAACAACTACATTCATAAGCATTCCATAGGCTCAGATAGTTTTTGCCGCTCTCTGCAAGTGCAAAAGCGCGCTCTCTTCAACGCTCTCTCTCTCTCTCTCTCTCTGTCTCACTCCCTATTTATTTCGTCTGCCTGCTCTCGCGCACACGCACTTTTTTTACGAGCTTTCAGCACGCACAAAGCTTTTGCAGCCAAATGCTGATCCACAGGCGGCGTCTGATCAGATCGCAAGAGCCCATCATTCGCAGCTGAGTTCTCATTCGTTTTGGATGTAGATAGGTCAAGAGTGCGGGGAAAGTGGGGCAAGCAATAAATATGCCAGCATTGGGCAAGGAAATATGAATATATATTGCAGTTAATAATTATGAATCAATGACTAAAAAGTGAAGCTAAGAAGTTAGCTGAATTATGTTTGATTATCTTAATTATATAGTGGGAATAGTTAGGGGCAGCACAATAAAAATCTGTGTTATTTCAAATGAAATCAAGTCAAATACTTTTGCAGAAGTGATTTTTAAGATCGCTCAAGTTCATACATATATATACATATTTATATATGTATGTATATGTATGTG